CAAGGAATCCAGCAATGTCAATTATATTATCCTAACTTTAATCTGAGGTATTATTTAATACAAAATGTTAAAATTTATTTTTTTCACCCACTCTTTCTCTTGAAGGGAGGATTGGTGGGGGGTGGGGAGGAGGGTTGGGACTGACCGCGCGGTTGGAAGAGGGGGGGAGGCAAGGTGGGGTACTTTGATTGACAGATAGTGTCTTGAAGAATATTTTATTTTTTTTATTAACTGAAGATATTTGTTTTAGCTCATAAAATTCATACAAATTACCCGGCCAGAATATAATTTACATTGCTGGAATTCTTACAATTTGATGATCATTTTGAATATAAACATCATAGATTTTGCATTAGACATACAAATTTTAGATGTAATGTTTAATCTGAGTAAATATGTATCTTTTGTGAAAAATATATGACATTTATATTCAAAATATTCCTGGTCTTACAAGGAATCCAGCAATGTCAATTATATTATCCTAACTTTAGTTTGAGGTATTATTTATTACTATACCTGGTTTTTCCCCCAAAATTTCTCAGAGGGAAGAGCCAGCAGTGTAGTGTGAGAAGAGGGGGAGGGAGTCGTGTCCATTATTTGAATGGACATTAACTTGGCGACTGTATTTCTCTATTTCTCTTAAGTATTAATTGTGTGCATGTACCATCATAAAATTAAGATGTTATTTTTACTACAACATAGTTATGTGTCGTCAAAAAGTGGAGTTTGGGGATCGGCCTGGACTCCATTTCAATTAATCCCATATGTTATGTTATTCACTTTACGCGTTTCTCGCTTTCCACGGTACCCTCCGGGTTACATTAACCGCGTAAAGTGAGGGTTAACTGTATAATATCTCAGACTAAAGTTAGGAGATTATAATTTGCATTGCTGGAATCCTTGCAAGACAGCCAATCATTTGAATATAAGCGTCATATATTTTGCTCAAGAGATAAAAATTGTTGTACATTAGTGTACAGTACTGTAGTACATTTTATATAAAAGTTTTTCAACTGTATTTTTTGGTAGATTTACATAGATTTCTTCATTAATTTTCATCCATTTACATGCACACACCATACTAAAAGAAACGTAATAGAAATAAATGACGTTAGTGCAAAGCTGGAGTGCACATGTACTACAGTAATTTGATTACGGTACTAAAATTGTTTTGTCTAGTGCAAATTATAGCATGTTTATATTCAAGTTAATCAGTATGTTACAAGAATCTTAGCTATGTTAATTACATTCACCCAGGTCATTTCACTGGCTTTTTATAAGAGAGAAGCTTAGTCACCTAAGAACTGATAAATATACACGTGTTAGACCTGTGCCAACTGTCAAATGTACTACCTCCCCTCGCCCCGGCGCTCGCTCCCACCCTCTCTCTCCCCCATCTGCTTGGCATTGCTGGAATCCTTGTAAAACAGTGAATAATTTTAATATAAACGTCATGTATTTTGCACAAGAGATAAAAATTAATCACCTGTATCACATTACAGTAGTGATTTAAGAGTAACAGTGTATATGGACTTATATAGTTTTCCACATACACGTAAGTATAAATAAAAAGCTTATGTGATGATCGGACAACGTCCATTTCGGTTAACGTCATGTTTCCAAGAACGTATCTAGGACGTTAACCGGCGCATGACTTTATATATATACAGTATATATACAGCTAGACCCCGACTTACGACGGGGTTAGGGACCCAAATCCAGGTCATAAGTCCGAATGGTCGTAAGTCCGACATAGATAAAAAAAAATCTAAAATGAAATACAGTACAGTAAAAGTAATAAATAATGAGGAGTGGATACAGTACAGTGAAAGTAATAAATAATGAGGAATGGATACAGTGTGACTGAGCACTTACCTTTAATGTAGTCAGCTGAATGCACATGGGGCCCCCATAACTTTCTAATTATACATGGAGACTACATTAACTGGAAACGTTTCGGTATAGAAAATGCGTGTGTCATTTTGGAAAAAAAAAATTGAAAAAAGAAAATGGTCACAACTGCGGCGGTCGTAAGTCCCGACGGCCGTAAGTCGAAGCAGTCGTAAGTCGGGGTCTAGCTGTATATATATGCTGATAACCACAAGGAAAGAAGAAAACACGAAGTTCCCAAGCGCTTTTGTGTAATACACATCTTCAGGGGTGAGTACAGACTAAGGAGAAGTACAAAGCAAGGTATATATATACAGAGGAGGGTGAGATCAAGCCCACAATGGTCAGGTATAGGTAATGACCCTACTAATCTTGAAAAAAAGCACCGCAGATGTCGGTAGTCAGGTCAGAGGGTAAGCTGACCCGACCTCACCTGGTTACAAATCTTCTTAATTACGAAATTATCCAATTTGTATATACCATTACTCAAATTCATGTTGACGGATTCGGTATGTTTAATGAGACTAGATTCTATAATGTTCCTACTGTCAATTGAATTACAAGGTAATATTGTGGAGGCATTATCCCAGTCAATGTAATGCTTATTATCCCTCAAATGAACAAACAGGGCATTGGATTCCTGGCCTGTCCTAACACTATATTTATGTTGTTTAAGTCTAGTTACAAGATCTTTGCCTGTCTGGCCTAAGTAAAACATATTACATTCCTTGCAAGGAACCTTATAAATGCAGCCACTTGTATTGTTGGGGGAGTTCTTGATTAACATTTGTTTAACAGTGCATGAGTTTTTAAATGCCACATTGACATTCCAGGTTTTTAGTTGAAAAGGAATTTGAGAGAAATTTTTTTGAAATGGTAATACTAAGAGATTCTTATGTTTGAAATAATGAATGTATGTATCTTTATATAATTTAGCTAAATATCTTTCTCGTCAGAAACAGTCATTCCAACGATTATGAATAAACTCATTTAGAAATACATCATTACTTCAGGACAAAATCGGACAGGTTTACAACAGCCAATCAGCTATAACTCCTGAGGAGGGGGCGGGTCGGGGCATCTTTTCTCAGCCGAGAAAAAATGCACTATAGACAAAGTTTAGGAATGTCATCCTGGGTTTCAGAGTTCAAATTGTTGTCACCATAGTGAGCGGATAGAGGATTATTTTGACCAGTGTGAGGAAATGGCTGCGGTAACCACTGAAATTTCAAGCTTTTATTAAACAAACTTTTACTGAAAGCCTATGAAGGTAAAATAGCTTGGAGGACCTCGTTTTTTCTCTTTTTATGTCTCATTTGAGAAGGTGCAACATTACCAAAATGAACTACAGTATTACCCCGCTTTACGGTTTCACTTTACACGATTTCTCATATACGCGGTGCCTCGCCAGAACCAAACTTTCACTTTCCGCGGTTCATCTTCCCATATACGCGTGAAGTATAATTTTTTTTTATTTTATTTAGCTCATAAAATTTATACACATTACCCGGCCAGAATATAATTTACATTGCTGGAATTCTTACAATTTGATGATCATTTTGAATATAAACATCATAGATTTTGCATTAGAGATACAAATTTTAGATCTAATGTTTACTCTGAGTAAATATGTTATCTTTTGTGCAAAATATATGACATTTATATTCAAAATATTCCTGGTCTTGCAAGGAATCCAGCAATGTCAATTATATTATCCTAACTTTAGTCTGAGGTATTATTTATTACTAAAAAGGTAAATATTCTGGTTTTCCCACACATTTCTCTGGAAGGGAGGGTTGGTGGGGGATGGGGGGGAGGGAGGGACCGACCGATCATCTGGCACGGTGTGAAGAATATTTTTTTTTTTATTAACTGAAGATATTTGTTTTAGCTCATAAAATTCATACAAATTACCTGGCCAGAATATAATTTACATTGCTGGAATTCTTACAATTTGATGATCATTTTGAATATAAACATCATAGATTTTGCATTAGACATACAAATTTTAGATCTAATGTTTACTCTGAGTAAATATGTTATCTTTTGTGCAAAATATATGACATTTATATTCAAAATGTTCCTGGTCCTACAAGGAATCCAGCAAAGTCAATTATATTATCCTAACTTTAGTCTGAGGTATTATTTGTTACTAAAAGTTAAAATTAGTTTTTTCACCCAACATTTCTCTGGTAGGGAGGGAAGGTGGGGGGTGGGGGGGAGGTTGGGACCGACCGACCATCTGGCGCGGTTGGAAGAGGGGGGGGAGGCAAGTTGGGGTACTTTGATTGACAGATAGTGTCGTGAAGAATATTTTTTTTTTATTAACTGAAGATATTTGTTTTAGCTCATAAAATTCATACAAATTACTGGACCAGAATATAATTTACATTGCTGGAATTCTTACAATATGATGATCATTTTGAATATAAACATCATGGATTTTGCATTAGACATACAAATTTTAGATCTAATGTAATAATTTGGTTTACACAAAGCAAGTATTTTATCTTTTGTGCAAAATATATGAAGTTTACATTCAAAATATTCCCTGACCTGCAAGGAATCCAGAAATGTCAATTATATTATCCTAACTTTAGTCTGAGGTATTATTTATTACTAAACGTTAAAATCTAGTGTTTCACCCAATCATTTCTCAGAGAGGTAGGGGCCAGTGAGCTGGGAAGAGGGGGGGGGGATTTGAGTCTATTATTTGAACGGACATTAACCTGGCGACTGTATTTCTCTTAAATATTAATTGTGTGAGCATACCATCATAAAATTTAGATGTTATTTTTACTACAACATAGGTATTGTGTCGGAAAAAGTGGAGTTTGGGGTTCAGGCCAGTCTCTATTGGAATTAATCCCATATGTTCTGTTGTTCCATTTATGCGGATTTCACTTTCCGCGGTACCCTGTGGGTTCAATTGACCACGTAAATCGGGGTACTACTGTATGTATATCCATCTGTGTATTTATGTATTCTTCACTATTCGACAGGGTAAGCCACCAGGTATGTCTCGTGTATCCCTAACCTTGAATAACTTTAGACTCTCCCCTTCAATATGATGTTAATGTGGGTAATCATATTGCACTTACTCCCCACAGGTTGAGAAAAAGGAGCTGCCTGGCCGAACAGAATTGCCAGTTCCAGGATATGATGAAAAAGTAGAATTTGGAGTGCTGGTCTCATTTGCTTATCAAGTAGAAGACTCGCATGAGCGTATAATAGTTGCTACTACTCGAATTGAAACCATGTTAGGGGACACAGCTGTGGCAGTCCATCCAAAAGATGAGAGGTAGGTTGGTAAAAGTTTCTTTATCTGAAGTCTGTTTTAAATATTCATCTTGATGGGATGTATTTTAGGGAGGCATTGCATGTCTTTCTTTTAACCTTTTATTTCTTTACCATAAATTAGGACATACCTGGTAATTCTTTATGGTTGGAGCACCAGTAAATTAGCACTTTTCAGTACTTTGCTTATAAAACATTTGTTTCTTGAAAGTACTTAAAGTGAATGCGTTTAGTGTCTGAACTGCATATAAACACCTTTGAATTTATGGCACTTATACTGTGGCTTCTTTACCTCTGGTGTTTTGATGTACTACAGTGTAGTAACAAAAATAACTATTGAGAATGTTGTTGATTTTAGCTGGAATGAACCACGGCAGGGTGCATATTTAAGTACCGGCTATGGCAAGAATCATTGGCTCAGTTCTACTAATATCAGACATAAGTCATTGATAATTTTTCTTAAAGCTGATCTAATTGCCATTTGTAAATATATTCATTGTTATTATTATTTTTTTATACTGGATCTATTAACTAAAAGTTCATAAAAGGAATACCATATATACTCTTCTATAACCCCCCCTCGTTTATCGGTCGACCCTGATTTTTTGACCAAGAAATCGTTAATTTACGATATTCCTCGTTTATAGTTCGACCCATGTTTTTGAGGGTAATGGAACAACAAAACCTTCAGTAAAAACGCTCTACGTCCTATAAACTGAGGCTCGCCGTGCATGAAACACAAGTGCCGAAGGCAAATTGTTTACCATTTATTATTACGACACTTTACACTGAAACGCGGGTAGTTTCAACAAAAATATTGTATATTTCCATTCAAGTATTTATTCAAGCCAATTAGGAGGGAATATTATTGTAATACAACAGTTTTTTAACTAAACCATTTGAAAAGCGATTACGGTAACATCTTTTGAACGAAAGAAAGCGAAAGTCATTGCTTTCGTCACGATTTTATCCCACTTTCCACTGTAATATGTACGTCATTTCAGCAAAAATATTACATTTCCGTGAATGCATTATATCAAGCACAGTAGGAATAGAATACCATTGTAATATAACAATATTTTAACCAAAAACTATTAAAAAAACGAGTAACTTCTCTTGAACATCGGAAGGTTAGGTAAAATAGTTTTCGTCATGTATTTTATCCTATTTTACATTAAAATACATCACGTTTCAGCAAAACCACTATTTATTTCCGAGAATATATTCATTCAGGTGCAGTTTAGGTAAAATATACGTGTGATGTAACAGTTTTTTAACTGAAAACGATTCGAAAAACACGTGTACCGTCTAGCTGATACAGCTGGTAGTGCGTGATGCGTCGTTGTAAACAATAGGAGGTTGAAGTAGATTACCGGGTATTATATTAAGTGTGAAATATCGAAAAGGTTTTGAATACCGGTATTTTTTGTAGATCAATGAGAACTGTGATACCGTATATGATATGATAAGTTAGCCTGTGCTAAGAACTTCAACATAGACTACTGAAAGCACGTTGTAAGGTAATTTAGCCTATTGTAAGTTGGTGAGCTTCATTTACTGAAGGAACTGCACAACTTTTCATTACTAATTGGTACATATTTTACGTTTCCATTGTTTACTGGCAGTAAATGGTAAATATTTTTCATGTCTGAAGCTAAAAGTTGCTCCTCGCCCTTCCCATCATGCACGGGTTCAACCTAACAAAACTATTATGCATGTATAGGACGACCCCTAATTTTTTGCCTAAAAATTTGGTCTTAAAAACTCGAACTATACACGAGTATATACGGTATGTATTTTACAGTATAAACAATATCACCAGATATATGTTTCATTACTGACCTAGTTGTAAAGTTTACTTCCTCTGTACTATTGAATATAAATATATTTAAAAAACAAAAAATGTATATGATACGGGCAGTGAAGTGAAGGTATTTTTGAGGCGCAAAACTGCGAGCTAACACACACACACACACACACACACACACACACACACACACACACACACACACTCTTACTTCTGATTATGGCATCATCCAGCAATGATATGAGTTATTAGGGATGTCACCTTCATTGATGTGTTTTGAGGTGACAAAAGAGGCTGATACAGGACCAGCAGAGTTGGTCATAGAAGTTGCACATGTGGGGGGGCTACATATAGTGCTGGAGGGGCAGCGGCAGTGTCTATCCAGCGTTGGCGCTTGTCTGCCTCGGTTTGCAGTCGCGCTAACTCGAAAGTATTGACACCTACTGGTGTGGTGCTCCTCCAAGCGTTACTTTGTGGAGTAATTGTCTCCCACGTGAGGGGGTCGATTTGGCACTTTTTCAGGTTTGTCTTAAGACTATTCCTTATACCTTTTCAGTTGCCCACCGGCAATACATTTACTATTCGTTAGGTGACTGTAAAGTAGCTGCTTTTGCAGTCTACTGTCGTCCATGCGGGTAACATGGCCAGTCCAGCATACTTGTTCGTGGATAATGGTAGCCTCGATGCTCCTAAAGTTGGTGTCAGCAAGAATACTAGCATTTGTTTTCTTGCCTTCCTAGCGAACTCGGAGGATGGAACGTAGACTACATTGGTGAAAGTTTTCAGGTGCCTTGAGGGGCCTCCTGTATGTGATCCATGTCTCACTGCCATATAGCAGGGTGGGGAGGTCCACTGCTTGATATGCGTGCATCTTTGTAGATAATTTCAGCTCCCTACAGCTGAAGACACTGTTTCGGAATCTGCCAAAGGCTTGAGTGCACATCTGATCCGAGCTGAATCTCTTCATCAATGTCCGCAGTGGTGGACAGGTGGGAGCCAAGATACCGAAAGTGGGCAACACTAGGGAGGGTAGTACCGTTAAGATGGATGGATGATTGAGGTGTGTCTGAACCAAGGGCAGGTTGAAAGAGAATCTGAGTCTTGCATCCATTCACCTCAAGGTGTTTAGTATCTCATGAAGGTCACATTCAGTGTGAGCAACAAGGACAAGGTTGTCTGCATACCGAAGTTCAGTAATGGAAGCCGCCAACATATTTGTTCTTGCCTAGAGTTGTCTCATGTTGAAAAGACCCTTCATCCGGTACTCGATGTTCACCCCGCCGACCAAATTGGCACTGGCGCGAGTGAGGAAGGCAGCCAAGAAAATGGAAAAGAAAGTTGGTGCCAGTACACACCCTTGTTTAACCCCCATTTGGATGGGGAAGAACTCAGACTGGGTGCCATTGTGCAGGATGCTGCCCTTCATGCCATCGTGGAGTTGCCTCACAATGGCGACAATGGTGATGAATTTTGGTGGGCAGTCAAAACGGCTGAGGGTCCACCAGAGGGCTTCCCTATTGACCGAATTGAAGGCCTTGGTTAGGTCGATGAAAGCCATGTACAGGTCACGACTCTGTTCTCTGCATTTTTCCTGTATCTGGCGGGCAGCGAAGATCAAGTCAGTGGTGTTACGTGATAGTCTGCAGCCACATTGAGATTCTGGGAGGAAGACTGTGTAGGACTCTGGCAATAATCTTGCCAGCTTCGAACAGCAGTGAGATTTCGGGGTAGTTGCCATAGTGTGAGCTGTCTCCCTTGTTCTTATAGATATTGATGATGGAGTCATCTTTAAGAGCTTGGGGGATTTCCTTTTTTCCCATATATTCTCCAGGAGATGGTGGAGACGGCTGGTAAGCAGAGGTCCTCTTGCTTTATACACCTCGGCTGGGATTCCATCAGGCCCTGAGGCTTTGTTATTTTTCATCTGTTTGATGGCAGTAGCTACCTCATTCAGGGATGTATTATTTAAGCATTTTCGACTTACGACCATTTCGACTTACGACCTGGATTTGGGTCCCTAACCCCGTCGTAAGTCGGGGAGGAGCTGTATATAAATCTAATTTAATTAACCCATTTATATAAATACTTCTGCCTATAAGACAGGGGCTAATACATATGTATTATCTTTTAATCCACAAGAATTAAAATGATGTTCAGGGAAAATTGATATACATGTTTGTATTTTTGGCACAATGGGGGGTTGTTCAATGAATAACGTTACCGGATTAATTTTCTCAACATTCATAACCTGATTAAACAGCTTTGGGGTCCTGTAGTTCCACATTCAAGTGCAGTTAACTTTTCCCCTGTAAGTATTCACAATCATACTCTTTAGCCAGTCAGCTGGACTAATACAGTATAATGGTTGTATGATACTTTGAAAAATTCTGCAAGTTTTTCCATGCTTCTTGCAGCCTTTTCATTCTTAATTTTGTCAACTGCTTTCTTCACCCACTCTCTTTCATTTCTTGAGCATGGTCCCAGATCTGGCTCTGCTATTTCTAGGCTCCCCTTGTCCCAGTCAAACCTCTCATTCAGCAAATGATTGTACTATTTTCTCTAAGCATTCCTAATTTCACTCACAATACAAAAACAGTATAGTACAGTACTTTATATATGGAAAAATTTTGCTATAACATGCCGATTAATAATGGAAATTGATCCTAAGTATTTTATGCATGCCAACATCATTAAGGTTTTTGTTCGTGTAGCTATACATTATTATTATTAGTTTTTAATTTACAAAATTAAAAGTGCATGGGATTAAGATCATGCTATATTTTGAAACTAATACTTGTTAATTTTGACTTGCAACAGATACAAACACCTACGGGGTAAAACACTAGTGCACCCCTTTACTAACCGCAAGCTGCCAATATTGGAGGACGATTTTGTTGAAATGGAATTTGGTACTGGTGCTGTCAAGATCACTCCTGCTCATGACCCCAATGACTATGAAGTTGGGAAGAGACATAGTCTTCCCTTCCTTACTATTTTCACTGATGATGGATACATTGTAGAAGGATATGGACAGTTCACAGTAAGTTTTGTGTTACTGTCTAGGGATAATCCTCTCATTAAGCCTTAAACCCTTAAACATTTTTGCCAAATATGGATAACTTTTTTGTTCTTAATGGTAGAAGTTTAGGGAAATTAGTTCTTTGGGGTAAAAAATGCTCTGTTTCTTGTAATAAGTTGCTTAATATCATAAAATAACCAAACTATATCTACATGTAAATTTGGAAAAGTTAGATTAACCTTTGGTTAGGTTAGCAATTTATTTTTTATTAATAGCATTTATGATAATCTACCTGATCATCCAGATATAAAAATTATTTTTAATTTTCAGGATTCAATATCCAGTACAGTACCACAGAAAATTATCATGCGTGCAATTTTCCAAATATAGTTGTGAGGCTGCCACAGTTGTTTGTCAAAATTTAGCATTTTTTGCATTCATTAAGAGTGTTGCTGATAATAGTATGAATCCTAGTGTGTAAGACTACTGACTTAAGAGACAGAAGCATTTAGGACTGTTGAAAAGGGTGGAAATGATACTGTTTTTGTATATCCTAATGGATGGCACCTTCGACACAGTCAAATAAAATGTAAATAGCCATCTCTCTTTCAAATATGATGATACAACTATCATTTTGCTGGAATTTTCTTATTTTCTTTTTCTATTACCCCATATAAAAATTTTTATGGTTCTTTTGTGGACACCCTGTACAATTTGGCGTAGCTATACAGATGTTGTCAAAGTTATGTTACTTTATGTTAAGTAAGCTTGTATTTTTTTTTGTGTATATAGTACCTGTATTGCTTTTTTGGGTTCTGGAATATGAACATCTGCTTTATTTTGCTTTCAGGGGATGAAACGGTTTGAGGCACGTAAGGCTGTACTAGAGGCACTCCAGGAGAAAGGCTTATATGTAGAAACAAAGGACAACCCAATGGTGGTCCCTGTGTGTTCCCGATCCAAAGATATCATTGAGCCTATGATTAAGCCACAATGGTAAGATATCAAGAGTACAGTTTTACCTCTAGATACCAAACAAAATGACTGGTGAGCTGCCAGTTCACTATAGTGTGTTTTTCCGGTATAAAATGAATCTGAAAACTCGTCCAATACAGAACTTTATATGGTATGCAGTACAGTAGACCCTTGTCATTCATAAGGGTTAGGTTCCAAGAAGTTGCACGAATTGGCAAAACCGCAAATACCAATTTATACTACCTTAGTGCACTACTGTATACCTATACCAAACAACTGACCTGTTCAGCTATGACAGCACTCATCCCATCTTTTAACTTATCTAATAATAAAACTTTCTTTGTCAGGGTCATCACTGACTTCTGCCGTTTACATTTCACTCCACTAGCATCACTAGCACTGACTGTAGGCAGTCTTTTAGGGGCCATTTTACACAGAAACATTAAAGTTTTGAGAGTACAACACGAGATGCTGCGTAGCGTGATTCGTTGTGCTGCAGGAAAAAGCTTGCAAGCTAGCCACCATAACCACCATCTGCTTACCACGAATCGTCGAAATCGCAAATTGCAAACTCGTGAATGGCAAGGGTCTACTGTACTCCATATGAAAAAGTTAAGTACAGTATTTTTAGTCCAGATAAATTGTCACAATAAAGGAATTTTTTTCTTACATGGAATCTAGTTTGATAACACAAGACTAATAAATACAGTAAACCCTTAAACAATGTGGGAGTTCAGTTAATGAAGACCCAAAACCGTGATGTTCTCCTCCAGAGAAGCTATGGGAAGTCAAAATTGCCAAAAACGGAAGAAAAATCCACTCCATAACACATATACCTTCCACATATGCTCTTTATTTTAATTATTTTATATTTTTATATTATATTTTCCATATTTCTGAACCATGTTAGAGTACTGTAATGATTTTTTCACAACTTTTATAGTTCATTAAAAGTAACAATATACAAGGCAGCTGGGCCGGTGGGTTGGCCACGTAATTTATAGTCAAGGCCTTGGTTAGAACCGCCTCCATAGATACACATTCACTTCTCAAACATACGCTTCGTTTACTTCTTTTATATCTTATTTTCTAAGCCACATTAGAATATTATAATGATTTTTTTACCACTTTTTTAGTTTCATTAAAAGTAACAATAAATGTGGAAGGTAAGTTGGTGAGTCAGAGACATCGTAATAGCCCACCATCCACACACATACGTGCACACACGCACATGCACACACACACATGCGCGCGCACACACACACACCCACGTGCACACGCACACACACTCTTTTTCTTATTTTATAGATTTATGTTATATTTTCTTTATTTGTAAGCCACAATGTTTATATAGAGTAGAATAATTGTTAGAGAACTCCATTTTCTGAGATACGTGCCAGGAGGCAGCTGGCTGACATGCAAGCCAGCTGTGGCCTGCAAAATGGTTATTCATGCTGCCATTGTTACATATACAGCTACTCCTCGAATTACGACATACTCGATCAAAACATAATTCCAAAATTAAAATACAGTGGTCCCTCGGTTAACGAACACAATTCGTTCCAGAAGGTCGTTCGTTAACCGAAACTATTGTTTCAATGGGATATTGGGTAATTGGTTCCAGCTCACAGAAAAGTATACAGTATAGTCTCGGTTTACGCGGTCAATTAAACCCGTGGAGGTCCGTGTAAAACGAGAAACGCGTAAACGAAATAACAGAACATATGGGATTAATTGAAATAGAGACTGGGCCGACCCCCAAACTCTACTTTTTCCGACACAATACGTACATTGTAGTAAAATTAACATCTTAATTTTATGATGGTATGCACACACAGTTAATATATAAGAGAAATATCAATAATATTAGGTTTTTTAACACTTACGTTAGTAGAAAAGATGGCTGGGCACACGGGGATGGGGGGTTGGTTCCGAGGCAGAGGGCAGATTATTGGCCCTCACCTGTATCACTTGTATTAATTGTATCACTATCCACCACAGAGGCTTGCAGGGCCTCTTTGTCAAACCCCTCAAAGTCCATATCTTCACTATCACTGACTTGGGCCGGCTGTGGTGGGTGGCGGGTGAAGAACTCGGTAATGTTTTGTTGACTGGGCGACCTTGTGCGGACCCTGCCCGCGCCGCTTCCCGCATAAATGATGGAATGAACCGTGTAAATAAAAATTGTCGGTCTGGCAAGGTGCCGCGTAAACCAAATCCGCGTAAATCGAGACTATTCTGTATTTTAACGTAATTCAGTTGTACTTGATCACAGTTTTATATGGATGTACAGTGTATACAGTGAGTTCTGCTATAACGTGTGTTTTGACAACGCGAATTGGCTCTAACGCGATTTATGAATAGAGGAACGATATTTGTATAACGCGAACGCTTGTTTGCCGTAACGCGATTTTTGCTTACTATTTCTCCAATTTTATGGTATTAACTGTGAATATGGTAAAGAAGAATATCTCCAAGAAGCGTTCTGGTGATCGCATTCCCGGTGATGATCGTAAAAGAAAGGCTATAACCCTTGAAGAGAAGCTCGATGTTATCAACCTCAAAATCACCCTTCTCCCCCATCAAGTTATATTCATATTTTTTCAAGGCAAAGTGTTACATTTACTGTATGATTTCATTATTAGATATGAATGTAACATTTATTTAGACTGTGCTAACCTTTGTGTTAGGCTAACTACTAAATTTTTTTCGATTTTGAGTAGTAATCTGCACCTAACCTTATTTTCTCCATAAGCCCTGTTATTTCTATTACGCAAATTTCTATAACACGATGTTTTACAAGAACACAACTATCGCGTTATAGCAGAACTGACTGTACAGTAAAATTCCAGTTATCCATTACTTACGGGGATTGAGAGGTGCTGGATGAAGAGTTTTCCAGGTTATTTGAAACCTACTCTTAGGATCCCCCAATAAATCGTACATTGCACAATGAACCTTACAATTATGTCTCAAATAAAAGAAGAAGACTTCTTTAACACTTATTCTACTCTATATAAATGTTGTGGGTTAAAAATAAGATAAATATAATATAAAACTTTAAAATAAGAAAAATAAGGAGCATGGATGTGTGTCCGTGTTGGAAGTGAATGTGTGTGTAGGTGGTGTGCTATAACCGCTTTGCTGACTTGCCAGCCCAACTGCCGTGTCTATAGTTACATATAATGAAACTATGAAAGTTGTCAAAAAATCATTACAATGCAGGTGCTCCTCTACTTACGAACGAGTTACGTTCCTGAGGCTTGTTTGTAAGTCCAACTTTACTCCTGTAGATACCAAACATATTGTAAAAAATTAAAAGATTGTTGATATTTAGTACAGCTATACCCTTTAGTTCAGCCTTAAAACCTGGCTCACTCTTCTCCTCTTAGGTAATGTTTATTCTATCTGGAATTTTCTTCAAAATAATCAAGTCTCATCCATATTAAACACCTGTTCTGGCAGGTAACCCCACTCAGTGATGATGTTTGTATCTCTGAAAGTTTGTAAGTTGAACGTTGTTAAATAGAGGAGCACCTGTACAGTACTCTAATGTGGATTAGAAATAAAGAAAATATAATATAAATTAAAAAAAAAAAAGGTCAGTGTGTGTATATGTGGGAAGTAATGTGTTGAAGCGGTGGGTTACTGGGCTATAACTGAATGGCTGTGCTCCCTACCGAAGTGACATCACGGCATACACACAGGAAGCACGGCAGCCACACATCTCTTGAGTCAGCTGGTTGATGGCCTGAACTGTGCCGTTTGGGTGAGGAAGGAGCAATTTTTTTTTTTACATTAAATATGTGCTGTAGCAGCTATCAATGTCCTGCAAAGGTGTGAAAATTCTTTTATCTGGCTTTAGAATGTGAATATTTCTCCTTTTTGATGTACTTTAATGATGGGAGTCTTAAACAGTGAATGCAAAATGGGAGGTGTTGGTGTCTTGTCTACTGCTTGAACAGTATGTTTATGCACAAAAGAAAGTTCCAGGGCCATCCAGCTTAGTGTTTGTTAGATATTCGTCTTCCACAATAAGAATTAATTTTATTGATAAACCACCAATTAATGGAATTAATATAATTAGAGGTACACAATCCCTTATCCGAAACCCTTGGGACCAGATTTGTTTCGGAATTCAGAATTTTTCGGATTTCATAACGGTAGTACGGTACATATACAGTGGTCCCTCGGTTAACGAGCACAATTCGTTCCAGAAGGTTGCTCGTTAACCGAAACTAATGTTTCAATGGGTTTTTGGGTAATTGGTTCCAGCTCACCGAAAATTCCCTAAAATCAACAAAAAAGGTAGTAAAGTACACTTACTTTGAGGTGTGTATGTAGAAGGCTCCTGGATGATGATGATGTTGATGATGATGATGATGGGAATTAGAAAGGGGGTGGAGGAGAAGGGAGAAGAGAAGGCATTGGGGTGGAAGAGAAGTCACCCCATGGCGCCATTTCACCCATAAAATTTTAGTTCACTTGGTGTACTTCAAGATTATTTTCTTTAAATCAACACTGCACTGCATTATATATTGTCAATATGTAAAATAAATTTCAAATTGACCAATAATTTGCTTGGAAACACAGAAAAGAAGCATTTAGTTGAAGAGAGTCTCAAGCAAGATGTTACCTCCACTGAAAAGACACAGAGACTGACGCCTGTATGGTGTGTTGACAGGCTTTTTGGTGCGCTAAAAACTAGCTTCCTATACTTCAATTATGTTCAGTAATTGTTAAAATGACTAAAAAATTTAATATAAAACTTTTAAAATTATTGAATAGTACAAACTTCTTGATATTTACTAAAATAGTAAGGAATTTAAGCCCTAGAACCGATTACTGTACTGGCGGACTAATACTACAGCTGGTGGACCGCCAAATGCAAGCGAAAACATGTGGAGGGGCGCGCGTTAAAATATCGTTAATCGAGGGATTGCTCGTTAACCGAAGTTAAGAATCTTATGGAAGGTAATTCATTAACCGAAATCTCGTTAACCGAGGGATCACTGTACCGT